AGCTCATCGCCCTTCACATGACTGTGAGAGACGGGGGATGTAGCTCAGTTGGTAGTGGGCTTACCTGGCATGCATGAGCCAGGTTCCATGCATGGTTCCATCTCTGGTACAGCATAAACTGGGTACGACGAGGGCAACATGAAAGCCCAAGACTTGGAAATGGAAGCAGGGGCATCAGAAATTCAAGGTCATTCCTGGCTATGTAGTTCAAGACTAGCCTGGGACCCATAAACCATTATCACGAGCCAATGTGAGCAGAGGCACCCCGACCTCCGTACACTGAGTGACACCAAAGCTTCCCTATTTGCCACTGTAGAAAATCAAAGGCTTAGGGAAAGGTTGTAGACCCAAAGTTACCTGGCAAGACAGTCACAGGTGCAGGGGTTACGGCCAGAGACCCCAGAACACAACTCGAGTCTTTCTGCTTTACTGCACTGTCTTAAAGTTCCCGACGCCCTTGCTTGCATATGTTAACATGGATGAGGCACCAGGTCTTTTTGTTTCCCCAGTTTCTTTTCATTTTGGAGGGTGCAGGGGTGAGGGGTCATGAGGGAGGGTGCTGAAAGGTCCCCTGCTCAGGTTCGCATCCTCTCCTTTGTCATCATGTTCCTCTTGCACTGCCAGCTGCCTGATAGGTGGAAGGTGTTCCGTACACATGGCGGGAGAGTAAAGCTCTGACTCAGTGCGGTAAAGAGTGGAGAGCAGGGATGAGGAAGAACCTAACCAGCGAGGCTAGCGATCCAGAGAGGTGTAGAGACTTTCAAAAACGCATGGCACACAGTAGATCCTCAAAACACTCAGCGAATAACTGAATCCAGCAAAGTCTCAGCTCAAAGAATGGGAAGATGTTATAGACATTGGCAGTCTTCCTGGAAAAAACGTCTACCTATACGTCTCGTTCTGACTGTTAATTTAAATTATTCTGCTAGCACACACATTCATTTGTTCCTTCCTCCATTCATTCACTCAGGAACTCAGATAATACTGAGACAAGCGGTTTGCCAAATGTCTTGTCCAGGGCTATGGATTCAGAAATAAAGCACCAGAGTCTAGTCAAGGATGAGAAAACCCATAGCAACTGTACTTTGTGTGCCATAAAAACCACAGACCCAGGGTGCTTAGTAGAGGGGTGAACTGAATATGGGGGCCTGAGATTATAAAATAAGGCTTTAACGGGTAATCGGGAAGAAGCTGAATGGAGGTACCTAGGCAGAGACAACAGCACACCCAGACAGAGGTGGGCAGCAGAATGATCTCAGCACAAGGGAAGTGGTACTAGGTAGAGTTGGGAAGTCAGGTGGTGAGGGGCGAGGCTGGCAGGGAGTTATGGAGCAGACCTGGAAAGAGTCATCCGCCCTCACTGCAGGCAGGACCTGGCAAGATTTATTACGCATGTCACCCACCCAGGAACCTGGATGAAGTACAGACTCAGTCTAGGGAGGAGAAGGGGGTTTGCATTTCTAAAGAGTCCTTAGTGATGCCTGATACAAATGGTCCCTGGGTCCCCTTAGGCAGCAGAGCTGCAGGCGGCGGGGGGTGTATATTAGATAAAGCTCAGGAGGAGAACCTCAAAATCACAATTACACTTTTCCAGGAACTCTGTAGCAGGATACGGAGGATGAATGGAGAAAGGTAATACCAAAGCTAAGTACACAGTGGCAAATAAATAAATACACGAGAGCATCTAAACCAAGTAAGCTAGAGGAAAGAGTTCAGCACGGTCTTTGAAGTCAGGACAAATATCTCTCTTTAAGGAAAGCCTGGTGATGAGGGGGACATGAAACAATAAAGCACAAGCACACCCCACCCAATTCAGAACTCTGTGAACTGAATCTGCCTCGCCTTCCTCTGGGTCTCAGCTGCATCCTCTTGAACCCCACAGACATCCAGCCAAGGTGGCCAGGGAACGGACGAACATCATGCCTGCAAAGGATTTCCACACCAAACAGGTAAAGCCAGGCTTTGTAGTTATCATTGGATACGTATCTCAGGAAATCTCAGGGAGAACAAGAAAGTTCTGGAAAACGACACAGATGCCCACCAAATCCCTGAACAACATGTCTATTTAAAAAATAAATAAAAAACACGGTTATGTAAACGAGAAACACCTTCTTCTCTATCCACCTTGATATATTTCTAACTTGAAAACTAATTAAAATAATCATGGTAAAGGTCTGCGCAGTGGGGGGAAAGGCAAGTCAGAGCATAAATATTTTCCCCTTCCACGACACAGAAGCCAAAACACACAACCCCTAATGAGATGTTCCTCCAAAGAAAACATAGTTTCATGAACTATGCTGGTCACTATTCTCTAGCCAAAGACACACGAACTCAGAACAACCAACCACAATTCCTCTGCCTGCCACTGTTTGCCCACACAATCTTGTAACTCAGCGGCTCTCCACAAGGCACACAAGCTGAGCACAGGCAAACGCAGTGGAGTGCTGGGTCAACAGACACCGTCTATCTGCTTTAGAGGAGCTAGTCTCACATCCAAGGAGACAAAACAACAACGAAAACCCAACAATAACAACAACAGCAACAACAAAACCACAGACACCTACCTTTCTCTTCAGCAGTAGGCAGCCTCTTCACATTTACTCCTGTATGAAAGATCGGTCCCCAGACCTCTGAGGGGAGGTGAAACTTAAGGGCGTCCCATTCATTCAAGTAACCTGAGAAGGGTTGAGTTTCTCCAGATCAGCCTTCAGGCTCGCGCAGGCTTCCAGACCTCGGGGCAGAGGTGAACTGTGGGCTGTTCCTCAGTGCAGGAAGAAACTGGGAGGCACCGTGTGGCTGGAGGTGGAGGCGGAGGCTGAGGAAGGGAAGTAATCTGGGGACTGTAATAAATGAGAAATTCTCTCCACATGATTTCCTGTATTTGGTGCCTCTTGCCTCTCTCAGGGTCCCCAGAGGAAATCAGAAATTTAAACTTGTCCTTTGGCCACTGAGAAAGGAGAGAATAAACATGCTAAGAACTCTGAAAATAAGGAGAAGCGGGCAACAGGCCGGGAGCTCGCACTGGCCAGCTACCTTTATCTTTAACCAAGTACTTTTCTCCTGAAGTCTCTCCAAGTGTTTAACTCTGCGAAAGTCAAGGATGCCTTCATCCTCTCCCATGCTGCTTCTGGCCGCGGTCCAGACGTGGTGTAGCAGAGCAGCCAGTGAGAAACATGTCAGCATGGGCTCAGGAAGAGGGTCTGCCTGCCCCCAGGAGAGACTGGCACTGCTCTCTTTATGGAAAGACTCATGGTAGTCTTTATCAATCTTGAAAAAAATCTCCTAATAATTCTCAAGCCATTCTTCTGCTTTAAGAATTATTGGTGACCTATGACTTATAAATGGCTGCAAGCAGGACCCTTTCCACATGAAGTGTGAAGCTCGCTGTGAGCTGAGAACAAAAGGCACTCATTCGAAAGTGTAAGAATTCAAGATGGCGGCAAAAGAGCACTCAGCCAAGGACAGGGAGGCCTCTGTGAGCACAGGCCTCAGTATAACTATACAGAGTAATCCGCCAAGCTACTTCCAGTTATAGGAAGATGCTGGGAACTCTAAATGAGGTGACTTCAAGAGGCTTAGACTCCCCTATTTTGCTTTGTTAGGTGAAGCATATTAGAAGCTAGTGCCTGGAGGGAATTGGGGGTGTGAAGAGAGGCACACAGTCAGAATTTTCTTTGGGCTGCCAGATCACAAATAACAACACAGAGATTTTTTTTTTTATTAATTATGAAAGCTCCGTCTATAGCTTAGGCTTGTTCCTAACTAGCTCTTATAACTTATATTAACCCATTTATATTAACCTAATTCTATCACGTGGCATTACCTTTCTTCCATCTTGCACCTCCTGTTTCCTCTCCATGTCTGGCTGGCAACTCCACCTTTCTTTTTTCCAGAGTCCTCTCTGTCCCCAGAAGTCCTGCCTAATGGCTTCCTGCCTAGCTATTGGCCATTTTGCTCTTTACTGAACCAATCCCAGTGACATATCTTCACACGGTGTACAAATATCCCACAACAGAAACACACTACAATGTGTCAGTTAACATCACACCAGTTGACTCTTTGCCAATGTCTTAGCTTCTTGTCCCAGCTTCCAGGGAAATTGCCCTCAAATACAATCTCCATGAAATGTTTCTCATGATTAAAATCTTGTGATACCTTAAGAAAAGCCAAACATGTCACCATATCATAGAACAACTTCTGCTTTACCTTAAGGCTCCCTTCTGCATGCCCTGTTTAATCCTCCTTCTCATTCCCTCCTTTCCTACCTCTCTTCATTTACGAGAATTACTCTATGCAGAATGCAGAGTCCTCGTTCCAGGGTCCTTTAACTCTGAGAGCCCCCCAAGCACATTCTCCAATAACCCGACCCCTGGTATTGTTCCCTACAAACTATGGTTATTTTCCAAAGCCAGGAAATCTGTCTCTCTACCTCCTTATCTCTGTCTCTCTCTCTGAGGTATGGACCAAATCGCCAGGACCCACACTCAGAAATATTTGATTTCTGTAAGTTGATAGTTACTCGGAAGAATATTTATAAATTGCCATTATATAGGAGAAAGAGATCTTTAGGAGAAAAAGAAAACTGATGACTCAGAAGAAAACACACAATTGTTGTTAGGGTTTTACAGTTTAAACTCTGGCAGATGGAGAGCAGTATTTTCATAGGAAACAATGCCATAGCTTGTCATGTCCTTGCAGACTGTGTTAGGAATAAGTGATGGCCACTATTCAGAAAATGAATATTTAAGAGTTAGATATGCCGGGACTGGAGAGATGGCTCAGTAGTTAAGAACACTGGCTGCTTTTCCAGAGGACATGGGTTTAAATCCCAGCAACCACATGTTGGCTCACAATAGTTTATGACTATAGTCTCAAGGAATTTGATACTTCTGGCCTCTCTGGAGACCAAGCATGCACATGATGCACAAGCATAAATGCAGACAAAACATTCATGCAAATAGAAACAAACAAATAAATAAAATGGTAAAGCGAGCTATGCCTCTCAGTGAAGAGACGTTCACATGTCTTATTTTCTACCCTCAACCTAGTTCAACTGACAAGGTGACCACATTTGAGCTGGTTTGGGGAGGAGAAGAGGAACATTCATTTCAGAAGGAATTGTTTTGGGATCATCCCAATTTTTATCTAAAGAAAAAGGAAAGATCAGTATTTGCTGAAACTCAAGTTCAGCCGTTTTTTTTCCAGGTCTGAGGAAAGAGCAATATGCCTATAAATTGGGGTTCATGCTTAGAGGACTCCAGAGGGGACTTTTCAGATCCTTTCTTGAAACTTAGCCTTCAAAAAAGGAAAGGTTATACAGCCACAGAGACGGATCTAGCACCTGAGTTTGGTTCACACAACCCACATGGGGGTAGCTCGGAATCACTTGTAACTCTAGTTCCACGTTCTTTTGGCCATCTCAGGTACCTGCACACACGCGCCTCACCTGTACAAATAAAAGTAAATATAAATCTTTAAAAATGTTTAGATGTGCTCAGAAGAGAAGGGACTAGAGTTAATAAGGGTGAGGGGAAGCACAGGTCATCAAAACATAAGGGGAGAAGGGGGAAGAGGAACTGGCAAGTGGGGGTGGGAGAGAAGGGATGGATTGGGAAAGGAAGGGAGGCAGGATGAAGGTGGGGAAGTTGGGAAGAAGTGTGGGGCGAGGAAAGGATAGAAAACATCGAGACAGGAAGTTAGGGGGCTGTCACACACCAGCATTTCCTGTAGGGGAAGCATCAGGGCAGGCTCTCTGCGCTTCCGGCTTGACTCCTTCCTTCTTTCCTCTCTCCTGCAGGCAGAGGGAGGTCCTGGAACACACCACAGTGGCTGCCACTGCAGCAAAGCATTAGCCTCTGCCTTTTTCTTGGACTCTGAGGCATTGTTAAAGCCACACCGTCATCTGTCATTTTATGGGTTAGAACACATCCTTGACAGTCACCCCTGGAATTTTTAAGCATGTATTTGGGTTCCTTCCCAGGGTTCTCCAGAATCAAGTGGTTGCCTTCTCTGTTTACAAAGGCTGTTCTTAGCTGAGATGCTCCAATGGGGCTGCCTGATTAAAGTACAAGAATGTCAGCATGTGCAAGGACAATCAGGTCACAGGCACTCTGAGTAGCCACTTTTGTGCTCAGCACTGGAATGAAGGGTTTTTTGTTATTTATTTATTTATTTATTTATTTATTTATTTATTTATTTATTTATTTATTTTATTTGTGTGGGGAGGGCGGCGCGCACACATGTTGAGGGCCTTACTGCAGAGGCCTGAAGTGGGGTCAGGTTCCCTGGAGCTGGAATTACAGGTTGTTGTGAGCCCTCCAGTGTGGATGCTCGGGGCCTACATTTGGGTCCTCTGGAAGAGCAGTAAGCTCTTCAAACTGGTGAGCCATCTCTCCAGCCCCATACACGTGTATCTAAAATAAAGGTATTCATGTAATAAGTTATTTGCATTTTTCTTAGCAACTCTGTTTGGTTCCTAGTTAGTGGGTATTATTCCAGTTAAAATGGGAGCATCAGGAAAGAGTGGAAGACTTTAAAATGGAAACAAAAACAGGATCATCCGTCAGCAGAGTGTTGAGCAGCACTAGGAGATCTTGTAAGGAGGGGTGTGAATCTATAGGGGTCTATTTTTTATTGTCCTTGGCCATATTGTAATTATTCTTAGAGAAACCATTGTTACAGAAAATGATTCTTATTTTAGAAGTGGAAATTCATTTTGTTTGGTGGCATGCAGGGTAATTGATGTCCTCTCTGCAAACACTTATCCTGAGCATCATCTTATTTTAGTTCATTATAGGGAATTATCCAGTCGTGCTTATATTAGCAAATGTGGTTCAGCCTTCATGACCATCTATGTATAAATAAACTTGTTCTTCAGATTTCCCTTGGGACAAATTTTAATGCCTTACAGCCCCCTTCATTAATTAATGAGATAGAGACAACCTCTGCTGTGTATTTATTTCATATTGAGGTAAGAATTATGATTTTGCCACTTTGAAGATGATCTTTGGAAAGAAGGTCAATGTAAGCATTGCTGACAGTGTGTTGTCTCAAAGCTGAATTCACCTGGTTGTTTTTTTTTCAAGTGTCGTCCTCTCTCATTGACCCCAAGGTCATGAACATTCAAGTAAACACTGTCAACCGAGCCACAGCACCAGCTTTCCCTACTGGATTTTGCCAATTTTTTAAAGAAGCGATCCCAGTTTTTCTCAAACCATCCCACAAAATTGAGACAAGAGGAACTCTTCCAAATTCCTTCTGAGGCCAGCATCACCCTTTTACTAAAACGAGACAAGGACACAACAACAAACTGTATACCAATATCCCTGATGAGCATTGGTTCAAAATTTCTCAAGCAAAATACTTGCAAATCAAACTAAATAGTGTATAAAAATGTCTTTCATCGTGGTCAAGTTGGTGTCTTTGGAGGCATGCAAGGATGGTTACACATACGCAAATCAATAAGTATAACAATGTATCAGAACAACAGATAAAGACTGCAGTCTTCTCAATAGATGTAAAATATCACTCACTAAAATTCAGTACGAAGAGGCTGAGAGGTGGCTCAGTGCATGCTGTACAAGCATGAGCTCAGATTCCCAGTATCCAAGCAAAAAGTTGGCTGTGGTGGTTGTGGTTGGTGTACACTTGTTCTCTCAGAAGTGGGAAACAGAGAAAGGGGGGTCCTGGGGACTTGCTGACCAGCCACTCTAGCTAACTCTTAGATGACAGTGACTCCATCTGAAAAAAAAAAAAAAAAACCAATGGGGAGAATGAGAGAGGACGACACTTGACATGGACCTGTGGCCTCTAGGTGAACACACATGAATATTCATACTTGGATATAAATATTCATACATATCCCCATATACATTACGATTAAAGTCCTGAAATAAGTATAGAAGTCCTTCAACATAGCAAAGACTATAGATGATGAATTCATAGTCAACACCGTAAGAAAGAGGAAAAGATCAAAGCATTTCTTCCTAGATTGTAATAATAGAGGGCTTTCCACTCCTGACACCTTTATTCAACACAGTACTAGAAAACTATTTAGCCAGAACAATTGAGCAAGAGAGTGAAATTAAAACCATATAGTTAGGGAAGAAGTCAAATTATCCTTGTTGGCAGAGGATATGATGGTACATATACAAGAACCTTCATCAAAACATCCACTAAAAGATTACTAATTCAGTAATGTAAAAGGATGGAAAATCAATACATAAAACCCAATAGTTTTTCAACATGTTGACAGTGAGTTTACTGAGATAGAAATCATTGAATCAATTCCATTTACAACAAATACAATAAATAAATAAATAAATAAATAAATAAATAAATAATAAATAAAACACTAAGAATAAATGTAACCAAAGAAAAACTTGTATAATAGAAATTATAAACCCTGAACAAGGAAATTGCAAACCTAAAACCCCATGTTTCTGGATCAGAAAAATTAATATTGTTATAATGTCCACATTCAAGGCCATCTACAAATTTAATGCAATGCTTTAATTCATAATAGAAGCACAAAAGACCCTGAATAACCACAGCAATCTTGAACAAAAATAACAAAGCTGTAAGCATCCTGATGTCTGGTTTCAAGACATATGCAGAACCATAGTGACCAGAACAGCATGGTAGACGATCAACAGAACAATCATAAACTTAGGAATAAGTGTGTCCATCCTTGGTCAACTGACTCTTAACAGTGCTACCAAAGGCTTATGCTAGAGAAAGGGCAGCATCTAAGCAAGGGTGCTGGGAAGGCTGGGTATTCTCATAGGGAAGATTGAAACTTGGCCATTATCTCTCACCCCGTAAAAGATGGATGAAAGAACTAAATATGTAAGACCCGAAACTCAGAGCAGAGGGCACACTTAAAGACATTGGTGCAAACACTGATTTTCTAGTAGGACCTTAAAAACTCAAGAAAGAAAAGGAAAAAAGGGGAGACTACATTGTACACTTTCTTACAGCAAAGAAAACTATGCCTGAAGAGACAACCTGGAGAATGGGAGAATTTATCTGCCATCTGACAGATGGTAAAGTTTCAAAACTCAACTCAACAACACAAAACAAAAACTGACTTTAAAAAGATGGGCAAATTGAAGATACTCAAAAGAGGAACTAGCCAACACTGCGGGGGGTGGGGGTGGATAATATATATCATTAACTGTCAAGGAGATGCCATTCAAAACTAGGATGAGATACATTTCACCCTAGTGAAAGTGACTATTATCAAAAAGGCAAAACAAAAAAAAAAGGAAGGGAGGGAGGGGAGGAGGGAGGGAGGGAAGGAGGGAGGAAAGGAGGAAGGGAGAGACAGAGAGAGACAGAGAGACAGGCAGAGAGGAAAGAAGAAAAAAAGAAACTGGTAAGGATGTAGAGAAAACAGAACTCTTACACACTGTCAATAGAATGCAAACTGGTACAGCAACTGTGGAAAGCAGGTATGAGCCCTTGGAAAACTAAGAATAGATCTAGTATGTAACCCAGCTAGCTCACCTCTGGTTATATACACAGAGAAAAGCAAACCAGCAACGCAGAGATACCTGTGTGCCCACGTTTATTGCCGCGTGGATCACAACAGCTAGGATATAGAATCAGGCTAGGTGCCCAGCAACAGGAGAATGAGGCAGAAAAACAAGGCTACTACACACATTGGTGTTTTATCCCACCACATAAAACACTAAAACCTGGACATTTGCAGTAAAGTAGATGGAGCTAGAGATATTTATGTTAAGTAGCAGTTAAGTAGCCCGATTTAGGAAGACAAGATTGCATACTTTATTTTGTTCTGTTTTTAGTGTATGGAAGCTGAGAAAAATTCCCCTTGAAAGGTGTGATTGTTTGAAGAAGAATGGCCCCCATAGGCTCACATACGTGACTGCTTGGTCTCTAGTTGCTGGAACTGTTTGGGGGAAGGATTAGGAGGTATGGCCTTGTTGGAAGAGGTGTGCCATCGGGGATGAAGCCACACCATTCCCAATCACCCTGGTTCTCTGCCTCCAGCTTGAGGATAAGATTTACACCCTCAGCTACTGCTACAGCTCCGTTCTTACATGCCTGTTTCCAAGCTCCCCACCATGATGGTCATAGGCTCATCCCCTGAACCTACAGGCAAGTCCCCAGTTAAATGCTTTCTCTCATAAAGTGCCTCGGTCAGGGTGTCTCTTCACAACAGAAAAGTAGTTAAGACAAAAGGGCAATAGTGATTACTAAGAATTGGGAAGGGGAGCAAAGAGTGTGTGGAAGGCCAGCAAGATGGCTCTGTGAGTAGGGCCACTTGCAACCAAGCCTGACAACCTGACGTCAATCCCAAGACCCACACGGTAGAAGGAGAGAACCGATTCCTACAAATTGTCCTCTGACCTCCATATGTGCATTGCATGTGTGTACAAACACACACACACACACACACACACACACACACACACACACACACACACATACACACACACTAAAACACTAACAAATAAATTATAAATACAAACAACTAAGTTAAGTAGGTAGGCGAGTCCCCAGAAGCTGGCCAACAGGTGAGAGACCTGCAGGCAGGCTGCACCAACACCCTAGACGTCCACTGGACTCTGTAACCTCTAGGACCTACTCTGCCACCCAACCGTCCACCCCAACCTCATCACCCTCTCCTCTCGGCCAACCATCCAGTGCAACATCAGCAGCCCCTATACAAGCACCTCATACTCCAGTTGGAAGAACAGGTGAGTGACTGATGCCCCAGCTGAACAGTCCCAATCTCCAGTACTCAAGCCCCAGGACACATCCTGTGTCCCTCCCCCTCCCATCTCAGTCACAGCAAGGTAGCTGGGCCCTGCTCCCACTCTGGTGGATCTTCACTGCCCTGGAACAGTCCCCAGCAGCCAGCCAACAGGTGAGAGACCTATAGGCAGGCTGCACCAACACTCCTGACACTCACTGGACTCTGTAACCTCTAAGATCCACTCTGCAGGCCAAACCCACTGACCCCATCACCCTCCCCTTGGCCAATATAGGCACAAGCACCACCTACACCAGTTGGAAGAACAGATTGGCAAACAGTAGTGTAAGAATACATGCAACAACACAAAGGGCAATATGGCCCCACCAGAACCCAGTGGTCCTACAACAGCAAGACCTCAACATCCCAACACAGATGAAGCAGAAGAAAATGACCTTAAAAATAACTTTATGGCCGAGCGGTGGTGGCGCACACCTTTAATCCCAGCACTCGGGAGGCAGAGGCAGGCGGATCTCTGTGAGTTCGAGGCCACGCTGGGCTACCAAGTGAGCTCCAGGAAAGGCGCAAAGCTACGCAGAGAAACCCTGTCTCGAAAAACCAAAAAAAAAATAATAATAATAATAACTTTATGAAGATGATAGATGCCCTTAAAGAGGAAATGAAAAATTCCCTTAAAGAAATTGACGAAAAGACAAACAAAAAATTGGAAGAAATCTATAAATGCCTTAAAGAAAGCCAAGACAAAACAATCAAACAGGTGAAGGAAACAGTTCAAGACTTGAAAATTGAAACAGAGGCAATAAAGAAAACACAAACTGAGGGAATTCTGGAAATGGAAAAATTTGGGTAATTGAACAGAACTACAGATGCAAGCATCACCAACAGAATACAAGAGATGGAAGAGAAAAATCTCAGGTGTTAAAGATACAATAGAGGAAATAGATTCATTGGTCAAAAAACAAAAAACAAAAAACGTTAAATCCAAAAAATTCTTAATGTAAAACACCCAGGAAATCTGGGACACCAATGAAAGATCAAACCTAAGAATAATAGGGATAGAAGAAGGAGAAGAATTCCAGCTCAAAGGCACAGAAAATGCATTCAACAAAATCATAGAAGAAAACTTTCCCAACCTAAAGAAGGAAATGCCTATGAAGATACAAGAAGCTTATAGAACACCAAACAGACTAGACCCCAAAAAAAAGTCCCCTCACCACATAATGATCAAAACACTAAACATACAGAATAAAGAAAGAATATTAAGAGCTGCAAATGAAAAAGGCCGAGTAACATATAAAGGCAAACCTATCAGAATTAAGACTCCTAGCAATAGTGGAGAGGGTGCCTGAACTGGCCATCTACTGTAACCAGATTGGTGGTTACCCTAATTGTCATCAGAGATACTCTATCCAGTAACTGATGGAAGCAGATGCAGAGATCCACAGCCAAGCACTGGGCTGAGCTCCGGAAGTCTTGCCGAAGAAAGGGAGCAGGGATTGTAGAACTGGGGGTGGGAGTGGGGAAGTGGGGGGGAGGCAAGGGGAGGAGGGTCATGAAAGCGGAACCCTCAGGGGCAGCTGACCTGGGCTTATGGGAGCACATGGAATCTAGAAAAACAGTTGGGGGGCCCTCTGTAGGACCTACCTAGGCCCTCTGCATGTGTGTGGGGTCTCTTTGGTCTCTTTGTGGGTCTCCTAGAGGTGAGATCAGGACCTGTCCCTGATGCTTAGCTGGCTTTTGAGAACCTGTTGCCCATGCTGGGCTACCTTGCCCAGCCTTGATGCAGGGGGAGGAGCTTGGTCCTGTCTCAACTTGATGTGCCATGCTTTGCTCAAGCCTGTGGGAAGCCTGCCCCTTTCTGAATGGAGGAGGAGGAGTGGAAGGGGGAGGGGTAGATGGGAATTTGGGGGGAGAAGGAGGGTTGACTAAGAGGAGAGGGAGAAGGAAAACTGGCTGGTATGTAAAATAAATGAAAAAAGTTCTTTAAATAATTTTTTTTTAAAAAAAAGGAAGTAGGCAGGTTTGATCAGTCCATGCCACAGGTGTGGGTCTAAACATCATATTGAAATCAAATCAATTTGTATATAGATATAAAATGTGTCAATAACAAAAGCACATGGTGGAACTGTCAGCTGACCATCAGGGTTTTCAGTCGGGACAGACGGCAAAGTCTAAAGCAGGTCTATGGAAGACAAGAGGACGGGGTTCACCAGGTCTGGGGAGAGAGGTCTAGGTTTCGACCAATGACCTTGATAAGGAAAGGACATTCATGTCACCTGAGCAGGGGTTCTTAAAAACAGATTTCATAGGAGTTCTAGCCAAGTAGACAACTATTTAGAGATGTCCTCCTGCCGAGTGGTCACGGCAAACCCCTCGACAAAGGAGACCATGGTTTTTTACCCAGCAAGCACTTTATTGGCTGGGCTATCTCTCTGGCCTTTTTGTCTTACATTCTAGATCTTTGACTCTACAACCTATCCACTCAAGTAACAAAAATAGCAGCACCAAAAATTAGTCAAGACCTTACTACATGCCTTTGACAGAAGGTAACTTGACCAATTCTCCCTAAATGCAAAACTCATGGATGCTTACTGTGCTTCCTTTCCTTAACAGCCTATGTTATGTCCAGAACAGTAGGTGGGGTTTATTATGACATTTTCATTATATGTATATAATATACTTTGACCACATTTATGGTCCACAAAATGTTACCCTCATTTATTTCACCATCCACTTTTTCTTAGTAGATCTACCTTCATGAACAAACCCCTAACCCACCCCCAGATCACACATGTGAGAAATGTGTACTTTTTTAACATGATCTCCAATTCTATCTATTTTTCCTGCAAGGGATACAATTTTGTTCTTGTGTGTGACCAAATAACTCTTCTTTACCATAGAATGAAGATGATGGGTTCAGGTCTAATCACTTCTGACATGGAAACTCTGCCAGATCCCATATTTCTCCATCCTCTGGGATTCTCCGAAAGAAAGCAGTGGGGAGTCACATTCTTCAGGGCCGTCCTCCCTGGAACCCCAAGGAATATTTCACCACATAGCTGTGGTTTTTGGTTTCTGCAACCAAACTCCACAATCTCCCACTTCCTAAAGCCCAGCTGGCATAAAGCTGTTGAGCAGAACCGACTTCTATTAAATGTCAGAGAAAAGAGAAATGGCTAGCTAGGTCATACCTCAGAAAACCTCTTCAGTCCTCACCGGTCGCCCGTGTCCTAAAAGTCCCCTTGACTTTGCTGCACAGGAAATGGTTTTGACCCATGTTCTCCTCCCACCTTTGTTCATCGGCTGTGACTGGGGATGATTATGACAGCGCTCCCCTCACGCCTCTGCCTGTGGGCTAGGACTGGGTTCCTTTACCTTCCCCAGGCCTCCTGGCATCTTTTCTTTCTCCCCATCTGACTCCATCTGTCACTACTATATAAAGTGCTAAGTTCTCAAAACCCACAACAGTTCAGCCTCTTTCTTTTCATCTGTCCTTGCAAGTGTTCAGCGGGTACCAATTTTGACCTCTGTCCAACCCAGTTAGGGTATCTTCTAAAATAAGCATCCATCCAGAGCTCGTGCATCTTAACTTCCTGGTGTGTATATGTCTACTGTACAGTCTAAGCATCTTCGCTGTGTCTTAGCCAGCCTTGTATCCCTCCTTGTCCCACCCACTGCTGAATATATTCATCAATGACTGTAGATGCTAGCTGGCAGGTAGATGGGATGAGGAGACAGGAGACTGGTTTCTCTCACTGACTGGAAAAGCTAGAAGGCTTTGTTTGCAGAGTCACTGGTGACTCAAAGCTAGTAGATAGAAAATGTGCACACAAGTAACATTGACACGGTCTTGAAGTTCCACGCACTTTCCAGAATGTTCTGGTTTTTTGTTTGGGTCTTGGTTACTAAATGTTTTCTATAAATACTAAATATCTTAGGAAACCATTTTCCCTCAATCATTTATATTCTGAAATGAGAAGCATTCTGGCATAGGCTGCCTACTGGGTGTCTGTAGGCTCCAGGGTGTAGGTTACCCTCAGATGGAAACCACGTCCTGTGACTTACCATTGTTGAACTCACCCTCACACTTCCTAGGGGACTCACTCATTCTTCCCAGGGGATGTCTCCCAAGCTCTTGGCCTCAATGGTCCATCATTTCTTGTCACAGAAACAGTTCTTTCTCAGCTCTTCACTCTTCAGGATCAACAGAAACATTTTATGTTCTTTATTCATGTGTGTGATGGATAGTTTTTAAATGTCAACTTGTCAAAGCACAGATTCACCTGAGAAGAAACTCTCAACAAAGGGATTACTTAGATCACGTTTGCCTGTGTGTCTGTCTATGGGTGACTGTCTTGATTGTTAGTTAAGGTAGGAAGACCCAGCACACTGCGGGTAGCGCCATTCCCTAGGAGGGGGTTCTGTGCTCTGAGACAGGAGAAAGGCAGAGGGAAGCTAGAAGCAGGTAGGCAGCATGAGTCTATTGGTTTCCAACAGCTCTTGATCTTGACTGTGATGTGACTTCGTATCTGAGGTTCTGCCTTCGCTTGTCTTCAATCCTGGACTGACCTGGAATTGTAATCATCATAAGTCTTTTCCTCTTATACATTGCTTTTTGTCAGGGTGTATTTTATCACAGCAGCAGAAATGAAGCTAGAGCAGTGTCTCAGGACTCCAAAGACTCCCCTTTGAAGATGTCTTACTATCGCAACACCTCCAGGCCTATCCCATGCTCTATGTTGGGTCCTGTAGCACCATAGAAACAAATAGGACACATTCTGAGTCCAAGGAGTTCATAGCCTCCCTCAGCCTTTAAATCATTTCCTGACTATGCAGATTTAGAAATACTGTAACTCTGGTATGCTGACCTTATTGAGATTTTTTTTTTCATGCAACTTGATAATATATCATTTGTAAAGAATTCCTGTCTACTATTGTCTTAGTCATACACACACACACACACACACACACACACACACACACACACACGCACACACAGACACACACACACACACCATTTCCACATCTGATAGAAATTGAGGGGCTAGGGATGTCACCTAAAGGCAGAGCAGTTGTGTAACATGCTGAGGCCCCGAGGTCCTGGGTCTGATCCTCAGAGCTAAAAACAAAAACAAGATAAAAGAAAGGAAAGGAAATGTAAAGAAGATAAGGAAGGAGTTGGGGTAGGGATGAGACAATTTAGCAGTCACTTTTTTCTGTTTCTTTTTTCTTTATTTTAATTCATGGGCCAAGGAGGTGGCACAGCATAGGGAGGTGCTTGGC